AGTAAGTACATCATATATACCCTGCTTTTCCGTTCCAAGTCTTTCTCACCTTTGAAAATAATTTTGAAACTAGTTTCTTTGACGAGGGATATAAAGCCAATTTAATTTCCTCTAACAGAAACAGTAACTTCAGAGTAATCTGCTGCCTCATTTTCCTTTATGATCTCAGAAACTTTTTTTCCTTAGTAGGTAAAGAGCACCATCCATTTGGAAATACGTGTCATACTCTTCACAAAGGAGTCCTTAAGTAGTTAAAAAGACCTGACCAAATGTCTACATTTTTTTCTTTTCATTTTTTTTAGTGTGTTTGTGGTACATAAGGATTATCATTATGGGGAGTGGATGCACACATATAACACACCTCAGTTCTTTTTATCTTCATTCCGCCTACTCCTCCCTCCATCTCTAGATTTCCTGTTTTCACAAGTTCTGTCTCGTTCCTTATCTTGCTCTTTGTGTTATGTATTTGGGCTTCTTATATAGGAAAAGCCATGTGATATTTAAACTTTTGGGTCTGAGTTGTTTCACTTACCATTATGGCTTCCAAATGCTTTCATTTTCCTACAGAAGTTTTAGGACAAAGTCATACTCCATTGTGTATAAATACCACATTTTCTTTTATCTATTCATTTTTTGCAAATCCCTACATTCTTATAGTTACCCTGTTTTTAAAATTGGTCATAATGCATTGGGTCCAAAATGTCTTTGTCAAAATTGCATTTTCATTGATCTTTTTACATTCCAAAGAAAGTACCTGTAACAGGTAGCAGTTTTAGGATACTAAAATAAAAGATAGTTGTACTTTAGCCAAATCCAGCAAGAAGAATAACTTTACAAATACATCTACATATTTTACAACAAATACTTCAATATCATAAAGCTGTTAAGCTAGTCAAATTATTTTAACAGAGTTTGTGATTGTCAGTTTTATTTTAATGAAAACTTACATACAATAGATGCTTTTTTTTTACTGCTTCTTCACATTTGATGTATAATGAACATTGTAACAGTTAGTCTTAATGGGTTAGTGATGAGTTCCAGTCATTTTTGCTCAGAATAGTTTGTGGTAGGTTGTACACTGGGATGGCACGTTGAGCCTTCAGTTTATTTACAAGCGATGTGCTGTACCTATCTTAGCAAGTTTGGTCATTTTCATGAAATGTCAGCCTTATGTGTAAAAGATAAGTGAATACTAATGCATTGAGAAGGACCCAGAAAAATAATGGAGAAATTCAGTGTTGGCTATAGGGTGGGTGGTCAGCAAGAGAACTTGTTCATTTTTGCTCTGTAGTGGTTAAGAGAAGAGCTTTGGATTCAACACCTCTCACTGCAGACCTGGATTTGGTTAGCTGTATGGCCTCTGGCTATAAGATCTCTAAACCTGAAAGATCTTTGCATCTGTAAGAGTTCTGTTTTTTCAGTAGCAGAAAAATTTATTGGCAAAGACAGCAAAGGAATATTTTTTTCATACAGTGAGAGAATTGTAAAGATCCTAGGACTGGTAATTTTTCTTCTACTTTTACTTACAATTTTTTAAGAAAGGAAGTTTATATATTCCTTGCCCCACAGTTGAAATAGATTCTGATTTAAGATGGACATCTTTCATCCCCACCTCCTTTTAGTTGACTTTTTTTTTGGAACTGGGAATCAAACTCAGGACCTTGCGCTTGCCAGGCAGGCACTCCCGCCACTGAGCTATATCCCCAGTCTCCCCCCGCCCCTTTCAATAAAGGTGTCTTGATTTAGAAGCTTGACCCCTTACCCATTCCTTAGGCCATAGTTATGTTCTGACTGCTTCCCTGTGTACAGACCACGTGTGTGTAAGGGGAATTTAAGGGGACCTGATAAAAGCTGGAGAATGGGCATATTGCCTTGTCCTAGGTATATGGGTTAATATGGGTGTGTGCTGTCCCAGTGAGAATGGGAACAGGTGCAGGAGTGAAACTGACTCCCTGAATTAGAATCTTAGCCTTCACCTCTAGCTATGAAACCTCGTGCAGATTATTGAGGATTGAGGGTTTTAAAAAATCTGTTTAAATAATAACTACATCATAGGATGTTTAAAGGGTTAATGAGGTCATATCTGAAAAAAGCTGTGTTTATATAGCAGGCATTTGATAAATAACTACAGTTAGTTTTAACCACTTGAAACTTTTAATCTGTCTTAACATTAACAAGTCCTTTCCAGGGATTGCTTCATGTGTTTCCAATTAAGTAAGGTGCTGATACTTACATGTTATTTCCTACTCACTGGTGCTCATTGGTGTTGAGCAGGTTCACATTTGTGCACAGTACACACATTAATGTATTCAGAGGCCAGTAGAGTCTAGAGTTATACATACCACCAAGTTCTGGGGTGACAGGTACTCACGCAGAAAGCATTTATCAGCCTGACAAAATAGCAAATGATGTTTATGGGCTTTGTCCTGTGCTAAAAATCAAGTCAGTACAACTCAGTTTTCTAGGATAAATTTAATCTTGATGATGTTATAATAGTTAATATTCTG